TGTTGTAAGGTTTATCAGTGTTATTGCAGCTATTTAGAACCTAAATATATAATGTATTTACGTGAAATAAAAAGTAATCTCAGCTGATTTTTAGTTTTGCTTGTTAAAATAAAATCCTGTTAATTAAAACCAACTCAGTGTTGATATAACTGACACTACGCAGCTAAGTTTATCATTTGTAATTATTTTTGCTAGTTTTTAATGTAATATCATTTCGTTGCACTACAAAATCCTCAAGTAAATCCTCAAACCATACGGACCCGATTCAGTTTTGTTCATAAATATTATTTTTTTTCAAGATTTTTTTTTTATTTTTATTTTCATTAAACAGTCAAAAACATCAAAGCGTTAAGCAAGGCAATACAGATTCATGAAAGAATCATTCGGACAGGTTTGTCAGCTAGTTCAACAAATTCAGTGAAAAGATCCGACTCCAATGAATGATTCATTAGCGAAACGACACCGCTCGTGTATATTGTTTTCAAGCCTATGTAGTGCGTGTATTGGTTATTGGCGCGTATTCGCTTATGGGTCAGGTATGTGCGTTTACAGTTTTCAGGAAATTTTAACACAGGATGTTTACTTGAAGTGAAAGCAGCGCGTGCGCTCTTTCAACGCTGAAGGGCGTGGAACCGATACTGCTATGAGCGCGAGCCTCGCGCGCTGCGCGTCCACCAATCAGCGCGCGATCATCACATACAAAGCGAAACCTTGGGCTGGATTGACTTTTAGATCGAAAATGCAACAGCTGACATATTCGTACAATTTTTCAAATTAAGATAAAGATTAGAATAAGCGTTCAATTCCATTGGGGATCCCTTGTAACAAACTTAAATTGAAAAAATGCCTGGCTTTCGCCTAGTAAGTTTTGTGTATGCAACAAAGTTAAGTAAACAATCCTTCTTAAGCTCCATCCTGCCAACTCTGATATTGATGAAACTTTCTCTTTCTGTGGTTTAGAAACAGCCGCACATTTATTTAGTGACTGTAATGTAACCAATAGTTTTTAGGCTGAATTAAGTTCTTTGTTTTTAGCCCTATGTGACCCACACCTTTTCTCAAAGAGATTATCTTTATTATGAAAATCCAAAGTTGCTGTCCCTTTTGAATATATTGTTAATTTCTTTATCTTGTATGCAAAATTCTTCATCCACAGCAAAAATGGCTTAAATCTCCCTTTCCTTGCTGAATTTTACGTACTTTACAGCATATATTAATTATATTGTAGCACATTCAATTTTCACGAATGAAAACAGGGCCAGGATGAACAAACCTAAGGTCCTAGTCTAATTTTCATGTGGTTGTTGTCTTTTTTTGGAAGATGTAATAAAATGTTGCGTCAGAGAAAATCATTGTAATTTAATTCATTACATTTATCCACTTAAAAAAAAAAAAAAAAAAAAAAACTTTTGCTGATAATTTACTCACCCCCATGTCATCAAAGATGTCCATGTCTTTGTGTCTTCAGTCGAAAATAAATTAAGAAATTAAATTAAAGAAATTAAATTTTTGATGAAAACATTCCAGGATTTTTCTCCATATAATGGACTTCAATGGGGTCCAAACGGTTCAAGGTCCAAATGAGAGTTTCAGTGCGGCTTCAAAGGGCTTTAAACGACACCAGATGATGAATAAGGGTCTTATCAAGCGAAACGATCGCTCATTTAAAAAATAAATAAAGTTACATTTTTATAAGCTCAAATGGTCGCCTTGCTCGACTCTCCTATTCAAACTTGTTCATCAAAATGAACAAATCTTTTTCGAGTCATTTGGTTCATTCAACGAACGAAATGACTCAATTTTTTTGTTTGTTTTTTAAATGACCAATCGTTTCTGATCTCATTTGGACCTTGAACTGTTTGGACCCCATTGAAGTCCATTATATGGAGAAAAATCCTTGAATGTTTTCATCAAAAACCTTAATTTCTTTTCGACTGAAGAAAGAAAGACATGGACATCTTGGATGACATGGGGGTGAGGAAATTATCAGTAAAATTTTTTTTTTTAATGTGAACTACTCCTTTTAAGCAGACCCTTGTATAACATGTATCTGTATGAACTACACATAAACAAAGAAACATTTACTGCAAAGTAAACACAAGTCACACAAATTTATTGTTGCATATGCAAATATTATGTACGTTATTCATCATTCATCATCAGTTTGTTTTGTCTGAATAGTTAAAACAGTGCAGATATTTAGGTCACAAACCTGAGTCACACTAACTTAAAAATGATATTGAAGACGCTTCATTGTTTGCTTCGCTTTTCTAGATTCTTTGCTAATATTTAAGGCATTTCATAATTGCATAACAGTACATTGCATTTTAAGGCATTTCATAATCGCATAACTGGAAAGTGCGGGTGAATGTTTTATGTGAAATAATGTAATCAAACTTGTCTTCCTGCTGACATCCCACAATGCAATGCTGCCTAATCCTCTATCCAACCATTACGCCTGGTCAGCACTGAACTGGACAAGTATCGATTCGCCACATGAAGGACTCAAATATATACAGATTATTCATTACATTTTTTTACACATCCATTGATTTCATTCTCAGTTAGTTGCTTAAATAATTAATGTGAGTAATATTATTAAAATAGCTGTGTAATAAGTTGGATAATGTACAACCAACGGGTCCTTTTCGCAAAATAAAAGTCCTCAACTTCACTCATGAAGTATTGCACTATTGCTTGCATTAAGTATATATATATATTCATGCATATACTGTATCTGTACAAACGAAAAACCTGATTTTTGGTACCTGCATTTATGCTCAACAACCACATTCAAATTCAGATTGACCCAAAAACTAAAACATGTGTCCAAAATGACTAATACATACAACAATGCATTATAGAGCACATTAATATGTGTGACGCTAACTGTATGGCTTACGGATCTGACGGAAATCTGCATGTGTGTGAGCCATTTTTTTTTTTGTAAAGGCACAATTAAAGGGATCAAATGGAAACGCAATCTGCTTGAGCGATCCAAAGAAAAAAAAAAAAACAGTTTGAAAATAGTGTGTGTGTGTGTACATGTTTTTTCTATCCCGGTGGGGACTAAAACCTGAATGTTCACACACACTCATGAGGACTCGTGTCACTGTGGGCCTAAAGGTACACAAGCTTGTACAGTAAATCATAAAGAATTAGTTTGTTTGAAAATGTAAAGAAGTTTTGTGTGACGGGCAAGTTTAGGGGTCAGCTAGTGTGTGTGTGTGTGTTATGGGTAGGTTTAGGGATCAGTTAGTCTGTGTGTGTTTGTGTGAGTTGGGTAAGTTTACGGGTCGGGTAGTGTGTTCTTCGAACCGTTACTCTTCGAACCGTTACTCCTCGAACCGTTACTCTTCGAACCGCTACTCCTCGAACCTTCACTCCTCGAACCGTTACTCTTCGAACCTTCACTTCTCGAACCGTTACTGTGTGTGCGTGTGTGTTATGGGTAGGATTAGGCATCAGTTAGTCTATGTGTGTGTGTGTGTGTGTGTGTGTGATGGGTAGGTTTAGGGATTGGTTAGTGTGTGTGCATGTGTTTGTGTGAGTTGGGTAGGTTTACGGGTCGGTTAGTGTGTGTGTGTGTGTGTGTTTGATGGGTAGGTTTAGGGATAGGTTAGTGTGTGTGTTTGTGTGAGTTGGGTAGGTTTACGGTCGGTTAGTGTGTGTGTGTGTGTGTGTGTTTGATGGGTAGGTTTAGGGGTCGGTTAGTGTTTGTGTGTGTGATGGGTAGGTTTAGGGATTGTTTAGTGTGTGTGTGTGTGTTGTGTGAGTTGGGTAGGTTTAGGGGTCGGTTAGTGTGTGTGTGTGTGTGTGTGTGTGTGTGTGTGTGTGTGTGTGTGTGTGTGTGTTTGATGGGTAGGTTTAGGGATAGGTTAGTGTGTGTGTTTGTGTGAGTTGGGTAGGTTTACGGGTCGGTTAGTGTGTGTGTGTGTGTGTGTGTGTGTGTTTGATGGGTAGGTTTAGGGGTCGGTTAGTGTTTGTGTGTGTGATGGGTAGGTTTAGGGATAGGTTAGTGTGTGTGTTTGTGTGAGTTGGGTAGGTTTACGGGTCGGTTAGTGTGTGTGTGTGTGTGTGTGTGTGTGTTTGATGGGTAGGTTTAGGGATAGGTTAGTGTGTGTGTTTGTGTGAGTTGGGTAGGTTTACGGGTCGGTTAGTGTGTGTGTGTGTGTGTGTGTTTGATGGGTAGGTTTAGGGGTCGGTTAGTGTTTGTGTGTGTGATGGGTAGGTTTAGGGATTGTTTAGTGTGTGTGTGTGTGTTGTGTGAGTTGGGTAGGTTTAGGGGTCGGTTAGTGTGTGTGTGTGTGTGTGTGTGTGTGTGTGTTTGATGGGTAGGTTTAGGGATAGGTTAGTGTGTGTGTTTGTGTGAGTTGGGTAGGTTTACGGGTCGGTTAGTGTGTGTGTGTGTGTGTGTGTGTGTTTGATGGGTAGGTTTAGGGGTCGGTTAGTGTTTGTGTGTGTGATGGGTAGGTTTAGGGATTGTTTAGTGTGTGTGTGTGTGTTGTGTGAGTTGGGTAGGTTTAGGGGTCGGTTAGTGTGTGTGTGTGTGTGTGTGTGTGTGTGTGTAATGGGTAGGTTTAGGGATTGGTTAGTGTGTGTGTTTGTGTGTGATGGGTAGGTTTAGGGGTCAGTTAGTGTGTGTGTGTGTGTGATGGGTAGGTTTAGGGGTCGGTTAGTGAGTGTGTGTGCGTGTGTGTGTGTGTGTGTGTGTGTGTGTGTGATGGGTAGGTTTAGGGATAGGTTAGTGTGTGTGTTTGTGTGAGTTGGGTAGGTTTAGGGGTCGGTTAGTGTGTGTGTGTGTGTGTGTGTGTGTGTGTGATGGGTAGGTTTAGGGATAGGTTAGTGTGTGTGTTTGTGTGAGTTGGGTAGGTTTAGGGGTCGGTTAGTGTGTGTGTGTGTGTGTGTGTGTGATGGGTAGGTTTAGGGGTTGGTTAGTGAGTGTGTGTGCGTGTGTGTGTGTGTGTGTGTGTGTGTGTGTGTGTGATGGGTAGGTTTAGGGATAGGTTAGTGTGTGTGTTTGTGTGAGTTGGGTAGGTTTAGGGGTCGGTTAGTGTGTGTGTGTAGGTTTAGTGTAAGGAGACAGTATATACAGTTATGGCAGTGTAAAACCATTATGTCTGTGGAGAGTCTCCACAAAGATAGCGAACGAGACTGTGTGTGTTTTCCTGAGGGTCAAAACTAGATTTTGTAAAGCTTTGCTACATCACGTAGAGCCTCTTCCTGGTATGGACACACACACGCGGTGCTGTTCACTTCCCGCCACTTGAGCGGCTGATGAGACGCCGCCGAGCTCTCGACCTGAAGCAAAAACAAAGACAGCTTGAAATCCCGCCACTAATGCAGAATAAACACCACTTACACAGCGCTGTGACTGCACTGAACATAAAACTCAATGTGCTAATGATGTTTTTTGTCCTGCGTCAGAATCACCCTCAGAGTATTATGAGCTCCGAACACGTATTCAGTGTCTGCACTTTAAACTGGGAAATCCCACCATTCATGCAAAGCATTTGTTTTCTAAGCCAGTCGAAATCTGCTAAGGGGTAATAATGAAACAACAGTTTTAAAAAGTGATTTTTCACGATTATTTACAACAGGACCAGCATTTTTATGGTTTTCAAGTCCTTCTATGGGGAAAATCCAGTTTTTAATGTAGTTTATATGTCTATGTGGTGTTTTTAATATGCTTTCAGACACACCATGTGTAAATATTACAGTATTTTCTTCTTAAAACTGCAGTGAACCAAAGACAGTCTCAAAAACACGCTTTGAAATCGCCGTTTTTTTTTCTAGGAAAAAACATTTAAATATGTCCAGTTGATGATCTAAGAAGAGTTTGGGTTAGCAAACTACGCATTTAACAACATGTATTGCATTAAAATAAAGTAACGAGATGAACGTCACTCAATGTAAAGTAAATGTAGCCTACTTTGTTCCGACCATAGATGGCTACTAGCATAGACAGTAAAGGTTACAGTTAACGGTCACGACGATGCTCTTCTTCTGTTGTTTGTCCTAGATGTCGCAGTAGGGGTTTCATTCATGTTAGGCTACGTTCACACTGCAGGGCTTAATGCTCAATTCCGATTTTTGGAAAAAATTCGATTTTTTTGCAAGGCCGTTCACATTTCCAATTAAATGCGACCTTTTGTGATCTCCTGTGTGAACGTGAAATGACCCAGAGGTGACCCGCATGCGCAGAAGAGTAATCAACGGTCCAAGACGTCACTTGTTGTTTGCAGAATAGTTCTTTTTTTTCATATGTTGCGAGCTTTTGTTTTATTATTATTATTGCCACAGCCCATATACAAACACAGACAATAATTATTTTATCGACGGGCAGTTTGCACATAAATGTAAGATTTTTCCGATCCTCACCGACCTCGTCATAAAACCCGTTTAATTGATAGTGCGTGTCCGCGGCGCTCCTTGCTTTGTCACTGGCGGCCGCGGTGTTGCCAGATTGGGTGGTTATTCGCTATATTTTAAGGCATGTTCACATGTGTTTTAGCCAGGTTTTCGCTTGGAAGGCTCTATATTTGGCACCCTACTGTACAAAGTTATACTGACAGAGAGCGCACGTTCACAATCACATACACCAGAATGAACGTGTTCACAGTAATGCTCATCAGGCAGTAATACAGTATGTTTATTTCGGGCGAACGTGAATAATATGATACGCGAAAATATGAACGCGTTCATGCACTATCGTTCATTGAACGCGTTCAGGCACAACACTGGGGAAGAGACACGTCTGCAGTGGCCCATAACAGTGAGGAAACGCGTTGGAGTTAGCGTGTATGGGCTGGCTACAGGTGCTTGCAATGACGTGCGGGTCGGATATATGTGACCTGGCCGTTCAGATTGAAGTCGCATTTCAAAAGATCGGATACATATCGGATTTAGACCACATACCCAAGTGGCCTGGGTCGCATTTGAAAAGATCGGATCTGTGTCGTTCAGACTGTCATGAAAAAATCAGATACAGGTCGCATAGGGGCAAAAAAATCGGAATTAGGTCGTTTCAGCCTGCAGTGTGAACGTAGCCTTTGAGACACCTTGTGTCCCGACAGTAAATACACTGCTGCGCGATCTGTGACAGTAGGTGCGCCGTCAATTATGTCACAATGGTATTGCGCGAAAATATACACTCTTAGAAGAAATGGTTCTATTCAGAACCAGAAATGGTTCCATCCCCGCTTCATATATGGAACTCCAAAATGGCTCTATATAGAAACATTTTTTTAGTAAAAGGTTCTATTGGCCAAGTATTGAATCCCATGGTTCTATATAGAACCATTTTTTGGTAAAAGGTTCTATTGGCCAAGTATGAAACCCCAGGGTTCTATATAGAACCATTTTTTTGGTAAAAGGTTCTATTGGCCAAGTATGGAACCCCTGGGTTCTATATAGAACCATTTTTTTAGGTAAAAGGTTCTATTGGCCAAGTATGGAACCCTGGGTTCTATATAGAACCATTTTTTTATAAAAGGTTCTATTGGCCAAGTATGGAACCCCAGGGTTCTATATAGAACCATTTTTTTGGTAAAAGGTTCTATTGGCCAACTATGGAACCCCAGGGTTCTATATAGAACCATTTTTTGGTACAAGGTTCTATTGGCCAAGTATGGAACCCCAGGGTTCTATATAGAACCATTTTTTGGTAAAAAGTTCTATTGGCCAAGTATGGAACCCCAGGGTTCTATATAGAACCATTTTTTTGGTAAAAGGTTCTATTGGCCAAGTATGGAACCCCAGGGTTCTATATAGAACCATTTTTTGACAAAAGGTTCTATTGTCCAAGTATGGAACCCCAGGGTTCTATATAGAACCATTTTTGGTCAAAGGTTCTATTGGCCAACTATGGAACCCCAGGGTTCTATATAGAACCATTTTTTGGTACAAGGTTCTATTGGCCAAGTATGAAACCCCAGGGTTCTATATAGAACCATTTTTTTGGTAAAATGTTCTATTGGCCAAGTATGGAACCCCAGGGTTCTATATAGAACCATTTTTTTGATAAAAGGTTCTATTGGCCAAGTATGGAACCCCAGGGTTCTATATATAACCATTTTTTGGTAAAAGGTTCTATTGGCCAACTATGGAACCCCAGGGTTCTATATAGAACCATTTTTTGGTAAAAGGTTCTATTGGCCAAGTATGGAACCCAAGGGTTCTATATAGAACCTTTTTTTTGGTAAAGGTTCTATTGGCCAAGTATGGAACCCCAGGGTTCTATATAGAACCCAGAGGAACCCTTTTTTTTAAAGAGTGCATAGAACCTTTTAGGGGTTCCAAATACGTAGCGCTGATAGAACCTTTTCTTCTAAGAGTGTAACAATATACGAAAAAGCAATTTTATGATAGAATTTTGAATGCAGTTCGACTATTCGAAGATCGCGACTCATCCCTAATACACACACACACACACACATCGGGGTGTGATTAAAAGCACATCATGGTGTACAGCCCACCTGAGGATATTTACGTTAAGTTGACTTTGACCATTTTTACTTGTATTTGTCCCTTTGCTGTATTTTATCACTGAGATAAAGTGCTATTTTCGACTCACTATGTGGTTCAGCTCTGCCATCAGCGGAGTGTGTTTGTCACAGTGAAGTGTGATGATGGTGGCCTCCACCCAGGCGTTATCAGTGTTCCTGCTGTCATCTACATAACCCTTATACACCTGCGTTAGACAAGAAACACACACATCTGTTTAGGAACTCAAACTCAAAACAATCAACTGGTGGAACTGGTATTTCAAACATGGAAATAAAGTAACATGAGTTACTTTGTGTGAGTCTACTATTAAATTATAAAATTAAATAGTAACATTTTTCTGGCTTTTTTACTTTTTTTCAAACACCTTGAGCATGTCTTTTTTTACTCTTTCCCCGCCTGCGGTTTTTTTTTTTAAAGTAGCCAGCCAGCGCCAACATTTTTTATAATTTTCACAAAACTTTCAATGCCCCCAAAATATTTTGTAGTATGAATATCTGTACATGCATATATAGATGAATAATGTTTTGATAATTTAGTTCAAATTAAAATAGTTCAAAAATCAAAGTTCTATAATTATTTACTTGATGCATGCTGTATTTTCCCCAAGCAACACGACTAGCTAACAAAGCCTTAGGTAACATATGAAACCAGAGACAGGGTCTTACTTTACTTTATCATTTTATTATTAATAATTTAATCATATTTTATTATTATAATTTATTATTTTATAATTTACTTTATTTATTTCTTTATTTTTATTATTTTTTATTTCCTTTATCAGTAAAGCTGAGCATCTTGTTGGTTTATCTTGCTCACCAGTTGTTCCCCAGCCTTTAGTTCAGACTTGCTCTTGTCATTTAACTTTTTACCCAGAATCCTCTCCAGTGCCTGTGGTAGAGGCTCGTCAGGTTTGGCTGGGCCCTGCAAGAATAATAATAAAAAAAGACTTAATATACATTTATCTATAAAGCTTGTTTGTGCATGTCAACTCTTGGTTCCAAAATCACAATATAGCAAATATGATTGTTATGACTAAAGCAAATGCAACGATTCTCGGTGTCATATTGAGATTCTGAAAATATCACTGTACAGATTTTATTTTATGCATTCATTCTCACCCCAGGAAGAGTCACGGGCTTCTCTACATCCTCGCAAACGGAGAGAAACTCCAGCACTTTGTGTTCAGCATCACGCCACCTTTAAAACAGGCTTCATGTTTAATACACTAACAGCAGGACGTGAGATGAATGCGATCTCTAATCTCTGGTGTTTTTGGTAAATTCGGTTGTACACTTCAAGTCCACTTCCTCCTGGATTTAAAATCTAACCTCAAATCAGGTTAAATTGAATATGATTTTAACTCCAGTGTTGTGTACCTGGTGAAGATTGGGTGGAGAATGTGATTCGGGCCGAGGGATTTCAGAGCCCCTTTTCCCCGTATCCCAGTCCTTCCTTCTGGATTCCTGTAAAATCCATTCATGACAATGAGACTCAATCAAATGCAATTAAATGCAAATTTCAGTAGGAGAATAAAGGCACAGACATATTTTGCTCAGCATACCTGTGCTTGTCTAAGACTGAAGTGTCTGAGCTGTGCAGAAAAAACAAAAAACAAAAAAACACATGCTTCACAACACAATACACATGCTTCACAATCAAGGTTATTATAGCTTTGCATTTTTTATTAGTTTTTATTTTTATTTAGTTTTGAATTTTTGTTTTCAAATTCAGTTTAGTTTTAAAAGTGGGTTTACTAGTTTAGTTTCCATTTTTTGAAAATGCTTAGTTTATTAGTTTTAGTGTTAGTTTTAGTCTTTTTTTGTAGTCAGGGGCAAGGTTGAAAAAGGTCAGAAAAAGAATTGTGTAATAATAACAACTCAACAAAAACATCATACAATTTTAGAAATATCTATTCAACATTAAAACCGGTACATAAAATGTAGCCTACAATGTGAAATTCCTTTACCGTACCAACAATCTACATATCTTCTATATAAAAATTTTAAATAACGTTAAAATGAAAGACATTGACAAAGACGAAAACTAAGGACATTTTATTTTATTTTAGTTAGTTTTGCAAACACACATTACAATTTTAGTTAGTTATAGTTTTTTTTTTTGTAATGGCTCGTTTTTTATTTTTATTTCAGTTAACGACAATGTTTTTTCCCATCTAGTTTCGTTAGTTTTCCTAAACGATTATAACCTTGTTCACAATACACATGCTTCACAATATCAACAAGACTCACGGGAATACAAAAAAACAAAGCATTTAAAGATTTAGAATAAGCCTTATCTATGACAAAATTGCAAGTCATTTTACTGTAATTTCTATTTAACAAGGGTTCCCACACCTCGCTTAACTTCAAATTCAAGGACCATTCAAGGACTTTCCAGGTCCAACACCCTCAAATTCAAGGGGTCAACATAGTGTAGATCAAATACATTATAAAATATTACAAATTTCATGAAACTTGCATTTTCCAGGCATCACGTTTCAGCGGTTCCAACCTATTTTTGCAATGTTTCATGGTGTGTCTGTGAAACGTTGAGGGACCAGCGTAGTCGTTTTGTGCGCGCGTGAACGTCATGGCAACGTATAACAAAGTACCTCACGCGGGAATCACTTAACGTAACGCGGAAATGTGTGTAACTAACGTAAATCAAGCAAGCTAGTGTGCATAGGCCACAAAATGTTGGCAAAATAACACATTAGCGGACCGGAGGGATTTTTTTCCAGAAAGGCTCTTGCACAAAATATATTCAAGCACTTTCAAGGACCTCTATCTTTTTTTAAAAACTTTCCAGGCCCTTGAATTTTGTTTTTCAATGATTTCAAGGATCCGTGGGAACCCTTGCTGTTTAAATTGGATGGAGATAATTCTTAAATGCAAAAAACTTTATGGTGTGTTCAAATCCTCTTGAGACGTTCGTATTTAAGAGTTGGGAAGTCGTACGACGTCCGGTGCTTTCCAATCACTTTAGTCAAAGCAAAATGGTGATTTTTTGTTTTTAATCAATTTAAATGCTATAAAGTTAATCATTATACAGTAGTCAACATTTCAAGTGAATCAAAACCTTTCAATAAAGTTAAACAAAACCAAAAACATTGATTCACTTTTTTTTATCCACTTGAAATGTTGACTATTGTATATTCTATCGCATTTATACTATAATATGGTATTTTATACATGCAACTAAATTTAATTCATTTTAACAAATCTACCATTAATACATCTACATAATAAATCTCAAGTCTCCCACTCATAATTACAAGTTTGAGGTGATGTTCATGTGCGTATTTCTGAGAGACTCTTCTGAGAGTGTTGCCTTTCACATTCAATTATATTTAATAGTGCATGATAATTGCACGAGACTATCTCGCAGATCAATTCGATTAATGGAGCCACTCTATCTTCCAGTATAAAACTTACTCGCTGCTGTCCTGTGGATTGTAAACTGGGGGACGGTACAGAGAGAAGTTTACCTAAAAGAGTAAAAAAATGTGTGGGATAAGATAAACAATATAACAGAATGCTAATTAATGTTATAAAATAGGGGTGGGTAATAAATATTGATTTCTCGATATTAATCGATTCTCATTTACGAACCGATATCGATTCTTAAATCTCAAGAATCGATTAGTCATCCTGTTTCATTTGAATGAATGAGACATTGTATCGCGGCTGCGTGTATCCAAAAAAATCGCAATAATCTTTGTCCTTTGTTACTATTGATATAAAACAAAGTCTCAATTTTCAAATTACGTCCATTTTCTTTAGAAATTCAAAAACATAAATAGGGTTTTGGCGCTGTGGCGTGAGATCGCTCTGGCGCAGCTCAGGAGAAACAGCCGCGCTGATCTCACTTCCGGGTTAATAATACCAGTCACAGCGCCAAATAAACATGAATGAGCATCTGAAAGTGAGTTAAAAGATAGAGTACAACTTATCGAAATCCGGATCATGTCACATTGATTCACTCAATCAGCGTTTCAACCGTGGAAAGACGTCAGTTAAACAGCTTGTAATCAATGTATCGTCATATTATCTCAGAAAACCCACATAAACTCGTTAGTCAGCTAGAAAAAATAACTCTAGAGAGGAGCATTTTGCTAAATAGCTATATACACCATATTATATATAATCTTAATGTTCTTCAATATTTAATGCATATTTGAATAAATCTGGCAAGTTTTTTATGACAGACACCATTTAAATGTTTATATTTCATATAGGCTAATCTTATTATTATAAAAATAAATAAAAGTGTAATTAGGCTAATGAAGCCTTAGTTAAGAGATCTGATTTTCTTGAGAAAATTTGCCATTTATTGTAACTGATATCCAAAATAATCAATATTGAATCGAAATCGAATTACAAGCTTGTGAATCGAAATCGAACCGAATTGTAAAATTTGTGTCAATACCCAGCCCTATTATAAAATATGTGGTATAATTGATGTCAGGCACCTCCCAGGGCACCTTCTCCTCAGGCACGGGAAAGCGTTTGAGGCCTTTACTGCCGGGATACTCGAGCTGACGTGCGAATGTGTGAGGGGCGGATTCGTCATCGGTCTCCTGTCCACTCGATTCGCCATCGTCCTTGTCAGAGCTTTTACCTGCTGGATGAAGGACATTATCAGAACATTCAAATCGGCCGATTGTCACGTGATCGGTCGGTCAGTCTGACACATGCCGATTTCATGCCGGTCAAAAGCACTCGGTGATTATCAACGTGCAACATCAGCATCACACAGAACGCACATGTAGGAAACCCCGTGAATTACAACCCCGTGAATTAAACGTGACCAGTGTGTATTAATTCTGAGTCTATTTTTGCTGCACTTCTCACACTCAGTTAAAGCGAAAGCACACTTCTGATGGACAAAATAAATATGATTTCACACAAAAGTGCCTAAAACGCAGAGAATTTTGATGTTTGGTGTGTTTTAACATTTTCTTGTTATTTACACAAAAACATACATTGGTCTAATTTGATACCGAACAGTAAGCTTGATTACCCCAAACTAACTGCTAGTTGGTCAAACTAGTTCTTAAAGGAGTAGTTCACTTTTAAAAAAAACTTTTTGATAATTATTTACCCCCATGTCATCCAAGATGTCCATGTCTTTCTTTCTTCAGTCGAAAAGAAATTAAGGTTTTTGATGAAAACATTCCAGGATTTTTCTCCATATAATGGACTTCAATGGGGTCCAAACGGTTCAAGGTCCAAATGAGAGCTTCAGTGCAAACTGCAAACTTTTCAAAGGGCTTTAAACGATTCCAGACGATGAATAAGGGACTTATCAAGCGAAACGAAAAAAAAAAATTACAAAGTTTAAGCTTTATAAGCTCAAATGGTTGCCTTTGCTTTATTGCTTTATAAGCTCAAACTCGTTTATCAAAATGAACGAATTGTTTCCTGAGCCAATTCGTTCATTTTGTTCGTTGAATCAACCAAATGACATGAAAAAAGATTTGTTAATTTTGATAAACGAGTTCGAACAGGAGAGTCACGAACGCGCATCACAGAACAGAGCAAGGCGAGCATTTGAGCTTATAAAACGTAAACTTTGTTTTGTTTTTTGTTTTTTATTGAGCGTTTCGCTAGATAAGATCCTTATTCATCATCTGGAATCGTTTAAAGCCCTTTGAACAGTTTGCAGTTTGCACTGAAACTTTCTTTTGGACCTTGAACCGTTTGGTCCCCATTGAAGTCCATTATATGGAGAAAAATCCTGGAATGTTTTCATCAAAAACCTTAATTTCTTTTCGACTGAAGAAAGAAAGACATGGACATCTGGGATGACATGGGGGTGAGGAAATTATCAGCAAACGTTTTATTAATGTGAACTACTCCTTTAAGACACTCTCTAAACATAAAGGCTGTGTTTATGCAACAGGCCCCTGGAGTACTGTATATGTCAGAAAATAAAATTAACTTTCTTTTTGAAATGAGCACATTTTTTAGTTGGACATCGGATGTGAAAAGAAGGAAATGGCTCTTCCATAACACTGCATTTTAGATGTGTGTGAATTTCCCACACCAGGAGTAATATATATATAGTCCTATTTTATAGCGATTACTGTTCAAAAATGTTTTCGCAGAATGTAAAATGTTCTACAAAAGAAAAGAGAGAAAATAAATATTTGTGTGTGCTGTAAAGTGGTTAGGAAAAATTCAACCGGAAACGGCTAAAATTGGCAGGTCAAAATCTGAAAAATCAGAAATCGGTATCGGCAGGTGCATCTGTGTAATCGGTGCATCTCTACATTCAGACAAGGTTTTTCTCAAAGTTTTGAACAAATGTGTTTATTAGGTAATTTTACCAACTCTAACCTCTGCAACAGAGAAGCTAGTATAACTAATAAGGACAGATCATGAGTAGGAAAAAGGATGCATGCATCTAATAAGAGCTGCTCACTCATTAGAGGCGGCTGCATTTTGGATTTGCATCCCTGAGATTTCAGCGCTTCTATAATCCATTGCAAAGCTTTGGCAGACTCTGAGACCTGCCAGAACACAAGAGATTCACCATCAGACATTTACATTTGCGTCGATAATGAACAGAACAAACTGACTGCTAAACTCTATTTATGGTGTGTATTTGTGAGTGTTGTTGGCAGAACGACACCTGCTCTTCAAGTTTAGAAAGTCGTTTTGCCATGGTGTTTGAAACCATCTCCTGCTCCCGCTCCAGATGATCTGACATCGCTCCGACCCTGAGAGGAAAACACAGTCTAAGAATGACAGCTAGTGGTCGAAGTAGTAACTGCATTACTGTTAATTACAAGCGGTTCACTCATTGGGAATAAAATAGCAATTAATAATTAAATTTTTTTACATATAGGCCCTTTAAGTTTTGGCATTATCTGAATATAGATGAAAATGCACATTTCGAACTTCAAGAACGCTTTGGAATATATGGACATAAGATTGGTCTCGTTTTATAGAAGACATTTGGCAGATTTTTCTCGAAGTGAAATAAATTAAGAATGTGAAACAGAAAAAAAGTTATAGAAGTTTGAGTTTATGAAAATGTACAACATAAAAAATGTAATTATTCATATTTTATATAAAATATATATTTTCAAAACCTGGGCGACTCTAAAACCGCAAAAAAAAAAAAAAAAAAAAAAAAAAAATATCAAAGCCAAAAATCTGAATAAGTCATGTTTCAAATTCAAAAAATGAGCTTTCAGTGAGATTTTGTTTGGGCGCAGTACCACACTTTTTCACTAGGGCACAACCAGACTCCATTACTGCCCATATAAGGGCGCCTCCATTTCCATATGAAATAATAATTATTATAATTATAAAATAATTGAATGGAGGCTGTCTTTTGAACTCTTGGCATGAAAACAAACAGGTTTCTACCCTTTTTTCATTTTCATCACAATTTCAAAATAAAGGTCTAAACACGCCTTAGAGTATGAAAATATTCTTGTTGCAAATTAATAAATTACGGCTCCTCTGTAATATATTTTGAAAATCAATCACCAAATATCAAAACTAGAGATTCTAAGCTTTCAAATGATAGTTTGTCAAGATTAGTTTAGGTTTAGTATAGGATCATTTTGTTTTAAAAATGTAATGGATTTGGGCCCACCGGTAGGCCCGTGACACTAAAGCGGTTAAGAAAAGTAATATAAAATCATTCTTTAAAAAAGTATTTATTATGGATGTAAATTTATTAAACATGTTATGTACTTAATCCATCTCTGCCCTTTAGCAAATCAGGTAGGAATATCATGTCACATAATTAATATTCATGACTTAAGCTCATGAATAATATATCAAAGTGCTAGTTCACCCAAATATGATGTGATTAATGCATCTCCGTCATGTCGTCCCAAGCCCGTCAGACCTCCGTTCAGTTTAAGATATTTTAGATTTAGTCCGAGAGCTTTCTGTCCCTCCATTGAACGTATGTGTACGGTATACTGTCCTTGTCCAGAAAAGAAATAGACATCATCAAAGTAGTCTGACGGGCTTGGAACGACATGAGGGAGAGTCATTAATGACATCATTTTTGGGTGAACTAGCACTTTAAGACATTTCAGACCATTACTCCACCCTTCCATATACTCAAAAGTTGATTCATAGTTTCCTCAAATCAAATTCAGTTTGATGAAATTCAATTCTTGAGTTACTTCTCTGCGGTGTCCTGGATACGATGCTCCATGCTCTGGCTCTCGTCCTGTCGTGTAGATACCAGATAGTTGTCCTTCATGAAAGCCTCCCAGGACAACAGCTCCTCTTCCTCGCTCTGCTCCAGTTCCTGCCCTGTGCACAACCAAGGATTTAGACATTCAACACAGTTTTTTAAAGTGATCAGGACATTAAAAATATAAGAAATTTAAAGAAGAACTCCGGCGCAAAATGAACCTTTGGTCTAATTACACATTGTTACCTAGTCAACCGTTATCTGAGATTTGTTTTCATGATTGCCGAATGTAAATAGTTTTTAGCCTATAATGCTAGTATAACGCTAGTATATAGGGCATCGAGTAATGACAAATAAAAATCGCTTGTTATTACCACTAACAAGGCTCAAAATAGCCCCACAGTCCCACACGACAGCATAATAAGTGTCCCTACATTCAAACCGAAGCATTGAGAACTTTGTCAGTGTCCATACAGTTTAATAAGAAGATATTTTATACACACAGTCAACTTCGCGAATACAGGAAGAAGCCATCTTTGAAAAATAGTCTCTACCAATCGATCTACGAACGCCGATCCAAGTGCGCTGAACTGTGCAGAATCTCATATGGTCCGTTGTTTCCGGAAGAAACACAAACACGAACCGTTTTCTTCTCTTCAATATGTACACGTAGCCTACTGTTCGCGCTCACCTTATTCACATCTCACCAGCGCACTTGGATCGGCGTTCGTAGATCGATTGGTAGAGACTATTTTTCAAAGATGGCTTCTTCCTGTATTCGCGAAGTTGACTGTGTGTATAAAATATCTTCTTATTAAACTGTATGGACACTGACAAAGTTCTCAATGCTTCGGTTTGAATGTAGGGACCCTTATTATGCTGTCGTGTTACTGTGGGGCTATTTTGAGCCTTGTTAGTGGTAATAACAAGCGATTTTTATTTGTCATTACTCGATGCCCTATAGACTAGCGTTAGCATTATAGGCTAAACTGTTTTTAGAGATAAAACTATTTACATTCGGCAATCATGAAAACAAATCTCAGATAACGGTTGACTACGTAACAATGTGTAATTAGACCAAAGGTTCATTTTGCGCCGGAGTTGTCCTTTAAGCTTTGTTGGTGTAGCACGAACGGTAGAACTTGTTTGGGATTTGATTTCAAGGGATAAAATGTAAATAATGAATGCAATGCAAATCAGAATCTGCCTAAAGTTAATTTGATTATGCTGTTCGCAATGCTTCAACAGGGCGTTTTGTGGCTGTAGTGCGGCCCTGGCCCAGCACTCACTGAATTGTGTGTGTCTCTCTGGAGGGTTGCGCTGAAACGCTCCTCTGATGAAGAGGATGAGGTGACTGAGGAGGATGAAGGGTGGAGGAAGAGCAGGTCGACTGTGATACTCCTTAATCAACTCGTAGCGCTGGAACTTCCAGATGGTGTCCGTGTTGTCCTGAACCTCCTGGAACGTGTAGCTGTGATGCAAAGAAAAAGGTTATAGCCCTAAAAGTGTGTGTGTGTGTGTGTGTGTGTCTGTATGTATTATGGCCAAGAAGAAATACAATTATTTGCACAAATATTCATTTTCACAGTTAAACAAACACACACACACACATAAACATACAAATATATATATATATTTGGGCTGTCCAAAATAAAAGTTTGTGTTTACATAATATATGTGGGTGCACTGTGTATAATTATTATATATATACTGTATATAAATACACACACATGCTTGTATATATACTGCTCAAAAAAACAAAGGGAACACTTAAACAACACTTAAAAAGTAAAAACAAGAAAAAAGTATTTAATAAGATTATTTCATTGATTCAGATCTATGATGTGTTATTTTAGTGTTCCCTTGATTTTTTTGAGCAGTGTATTGAAGAAATATGTTCATGTATATACTGTATATAAATTTAAATATAAATTATATTAAATATAAATATAAGTATTTTATATATAAATAAAATTTCTTTCTTAAATATACAAACATGTGTGTGTATTTATATACATAAAATAATTATACACAGTACACACACACATATACTATGTAAACACAAACTTTTATTTTGGATGCTATTAATCGTTTGACAGCCCTATATATATATATATATTTTTTTAAAGAACCAGATAATTGTGTGCTTAAACAAATAAACAAATACATAAAAGATTGTTTAACATTGAATAATAATAATGTACTATTTGGGAAAACAGGTAAGTGTTCAACTTTTTCAGTCTGTTTACTTACTGACTGGGAAAAAGAAAGAGTGTCCCAATCAACACACACAAGATAATTACTCTCTCTCTTACATATATAGAGATATTACATAAACATATTTGTGTGCTTAAAACAATAAACAAACAAATACATAAATAATTGTTCAACATTAAATACATTTTTCATTCAAATGTACTCATTTATTAAATAAGTCTCACAAAAGATGCACAACTTGTCCAGTAGATACAGAGTTGCTGCCTGTAAAGAGTGCACGCAGACATTTGTTTACTCACTTGAAGATAGCGATGAGGAGGTTGAGCAGCAAAATGTTGGCGAACAGCAGATAGACACACAGCATGATGATGGTCAGCCATTCGGGGAACATCGGCAGGCCATCGTCGTTCATCTTGGGGCATTTGGGCTTCAGAGGGTCAGAGGCTTCCAGACTGCAGCTGCTCTTATCAAACTTGGTTACTGGTTTGCAAACAGAGATATATGTTAGCTATTAGGCCTGGATATTGACACAAATTTCAGGATTCGATTTAGATTCACAAGCTTGCAATTCGATGCGATGCAATATTGTGACGTATATATACAAATCTATACGTTATTTGACAGTGTAGGGAGATTGACATAGTTCCTCTTTAGCAGTGTTGGGAGTAACGCATTACAAAAGTAATACATTACAGTAACATATTACTTTTTGCTGTAACGCAGTAGTGTAAGGCATTACTAATCAATTTTCAGTAATATTTTACTCGTTACATGTTCAGTGAGGCTTGTATTACAGTGTATTGTCTGCTTTTACTTCTTAAAGGCAACAGATATGTGAAAGTTTTAAAGTAGTCTTTTAGTGCCAGTTCAGAGCGGTCGCGTCTGTAACATTGTTTTTTCCTCATAATTGCGAACACGAAAACTAAAATGAAATGAATATTTTAAGTTCTATGGAGACTGGAGAGCCAACCCTTCCTCATCCGATTTGCGCAGTGTAATTAACAGAATTACAAAAAAATATATTTTGCCTCCTATTTTTTTGTCACGCATGAATGTGTGTCTTTTCCCTAATATTAAAAATAAAACATAGACTGATATTTGTCTAATGCCTGGAGTCCTTTAAGGAAGTAGCCTATATACGTTTCAATCCATTTTATTTCAAGTTTTGACTGCAAATGTCATGTCCATAATGCTGGACTTCCCCAATTTTAAATAATTTATCCTCAACTAGTTTTGTGGTGTAGGTCTACGTATTTTATAATGTTAACTTCAAATAATACTAATAGCCTAATTTAAAGATAAGGCAGCATTGGATCTGGACGGTAAGGAGAATAACGCTGGAGTTGGAAGAGGTGTGTCGCGATTCTGTAGGTTCGTGGATCTGAGTTGTGTGGCAAATCGCGATTTCTGTTTTATATTGCATATCGTTACAGCCCCAAAGTTAAGTTCTACTTAGTTATTTTGGTGATAAAACTCAAAAGTATTACATGAGTAACGTAACGCATTACAATTCTGGGACAGTAATATTGTAAGGTAATGAATTACTTTTAAATAACAGTAACAAGTAATACCTAATGTATTACAGTTTGGAAGTAACTTGCACAACACTGCTCTTTAGTGGGAATTTGACAATTAAATCCTGGAGCTCACAGCAGGCACATCTTCAATTTTCATGTTATTACAAAAAAAAATAATTATTTGATTTGCTTTGCTTTAGAGTAAACTGCTCACTGTCTATATCAGTGGGGAAGTTGCCAAATATGGTGAGGTAGGGGTCATAGACGGCTCCACGGACGATCCAGTTTAGTCTCACTTCATTATCGATCATAATGCCCTGTTTCGCCACGCCGTACGCCACCACCCAGATACTGAGCATAAACATGAAGAAGAACAAATCCATCATCTGCAAAGAGAGAATATGAGAGGACACAACATTAAACAGGAAAAGATGCACATTCATAGCTCAGTGTGTCTAATGTGAGCTATGAGAGGAAGAATACACCTGAAGAACTCACATCATTCAATATTATTAGTAGTAGTTTGTTTTTTAAAGATCAAGAAGCATTTGTTTCCTCATAGCATGAGACTCTTAGTCTCTTAAAGGAGTAGCTCACTTTAAAAAAAACTTTTGCTGATAATTTACTCACCCCCATGTCATCCAAGATGTGCATGTCTTTCTTTCTTCAGTCGAAAAGAAATTAAGGTTTTTGATGAAAACATTACAGGATTTTTCTCCATATAATGGACTTCAATGGGAACCAAACGGTTTAAGGTCCAAATGAGAGTTTCAGTGCAAACTACAAACTGTTCAAAGGGCTTTAAACGATTCCAGACGATGAATAAGGGTCTTATCAAGCGAAACGATCGCTCATTTAATAAATAAATATCAAAGTTTAAGTTTTATAAGCTCAAATGGTCGCCTTGCTCTGTTCTGTGATGCGCGTTCGTGACTCTCCTGTTCGAAATCGTTCATCAAAATGAACGAATCTTTTTCCAAGTCAATTCGCTCATTTCGTTCGTTGAATCAACCAAATGACACAAAAAAAGATTCGTTCATTTTGATAAACGAGTTTGAACAGGAGAGTCAAGAACGCGCATCACAGAACAGAGCAAGGCGAGCATTTGTGCTCATAAAACTTAAACTTTGATATTTATTTATTAAATGAGTGATCGTTTCGCTTGATAAGACCCTTATTCATCGTCTGGAATCGTTTAAAGCCCTTTGAACAGTTTGCAGTTTGCACTGAAACTGTCTTTTGGACCTTGAACTGTTTGGTCCCCATTGAAGTCCATTATATGGAGAAAAATCCTGGAAGTTTTTTTTAAAAGTGAACTACTCCTTTAACACTCAGAACTATTGTTTAACATATCTGAACTGAAGAAATGAACTTTATGAACACGCAGACCCACCATTCTCCTGACGATGATTATTTTCGGACCCAGGTTTCGACTGATAGTGAAGATGGCCATTAATCGTAGACAGAATATGATGAAGTCGATGCAGAGCAGAACTTTACCCACGTACAAGACAATGGTCGAGGCTTGGAGTCTGTATGAAAAACACACAGTCTGATTAGGTGTAACTTAAAACTAACTCAAGATCAGAGACAAACACTTGAATAGGATTTCTTTATATGAGAGTCTATTAGTGTTGGCAGGTTTGATTTATTTCAAGGCAAGGCAAGGCAAGTTTATTTATATAGCACTTTTCATACACAGTGGCAATTCAAAGTGCTTTACATGGAAGAAATTAAAATAATCAAAAGAAAGGGTGAAATTTCAGTGAAATTCTTTTAATGAACAGAATCATAACATAATTTTATGCGTTAAATGCTTTAGTAAAAACATGCACATAATTATTCCTTTATTTGGTACTTTCCTGTTATCCGGACCCCACGATGGCCAACCCCTAACCCCGCCCCTAAACCTACGCGTCACTGGGGTTAAGACCAATCAGGGATGATGGCCTACCCCTAACCCCGCCCCTAAACCTACCCGTCACTGGGGTTAAGACCAATCAGGGATGACTATAGTTCCTAAATGGTATATGGTGGGGTCCGGATAACAGGAAAGTACCCTTTATTTTACTATTGTTAATATATATTGGTGCAGATACACGGAAGTTATTTGTATTTTACATCTTTATATGATTAAACATTACTTGTATATATTGATTTTTGGGTAAAAATGATGGATTGTCTTGATAAAAAAAAAAAATACTTTTTTTTCATACAGCCCTAGTTATTAGGATATTTTCTGTGTAATTTTAACTTAATAAGGCAAACATGAACAGTACTGAATTAATATAAATCACATCTGAATGGTATTTAGTAAAATAGAGGTTGTGTTGACCTGCAGACCAGACCAGAAATGAACAGCAAGATTGACAGCACATCCAGAATATTCCACAGATCCCTGATGTACATCTTTGCTTTCCTCCGAAAGCCGGACCCATCGAAGTCATGATAGAGCTGTGGAGCATCACTGGGGTTAAATATAGACAATATATTGGCTTATGATTCTTTAATTAAGTCTTTTCTGCTCACCAAGGTGGATTTAATAGATCAAAAATACAGTAATTATTGTGAAATATTACTACAATCTAAAAGAACTGTTTTCTATGCGAGTATATAGTAAAGTGTAATTTATTGCTGTGATCAAAGCTGAATTTTCAGCATCATTACTCCAGTTTTCAATGTCACGTGATCCAAAGAAACACTCTCGTATGCTGATCAAATACTATTATTATTGATGGTTCTTGTATTATCAATGTTGAAAACAGTTCCTTCATATTTTCGTGTAAACCATGATAATTGTTTTTCAGGATTCTTCGATTAATTGAAAGTTCAAAAGAACGGCATTTATTTGCAATAGAAATCTTTTGTAACATTATAAAATGTTAGAATATCGTGCAAAAGTTTGTGTATTTCATTAATTCAAATTAAAAGGTGAAACTACTATATTTAGCATATATAACTTTATACATATGGATGATCACACTTTTCTGTATATAAAATCCTTTTTTTATTGATTTCAAGTAATATTCAATTTTTCAGGTTTTCATAAGCTGTAAGCCATAATCATCAAAATTAAAACTTTTGTACGATATTCTAACTTTTCGAGTTTCACTTGTGTATATATATATATATATTAGAGCCCGACCGATAAAGGATTTTGAAGGCCGATACCGATACAAATATTTTTGGGTTTTAAAAGCCGATATATCGGCCGATATTTAATTTGTTTATTTATTTTTTTAAACTGGACCGTCACAAACTGATAGTCACAAATTTTGTCATGCTTATTTGAGTTAAGAGAACTGATGTGGATGTTCTTTTAATTATTCAAGCAATGTATGTCTCGTCACCAACTCAACGGGACGGTGTAGAGTGCCCTCTGGTGGACAAACCATACAACTCCAACACTCATGACATGGTTCAAGCGTGTTTCGTCTGTTTTTATTTTATTTTTGAAATATACATTTATCGGCCATTATAACTGCCGATACCGATAGTTCGGAAAATGCATAATATCGTCCGATAATATCGGTCTGCCGATATATCGGTCTGGCTCTAATATATATATAGTAAGAATTGCGAGTTATAACAAGCTTTCATTTTAAATTGTAATAATATATTATAATATCACTATTTTTACTGTATTTTGGTTAAATAAATGCAGGCGAGCAGAAGAGACTTCCTTCAAAAAAAATAATGAAAATCCTAATCTTAACAGGTAATGTGTGTGTGTGTGTCTCACCTGTCTAAGCTCCTCACACACCAGCGAGATGAGCCACACATAGAGCAGAAGTTCTCTCCACGACGGAAATGTCTGAAAATCGATCATGAGCACCACAGCAAAGAGCCACAGGAAGCCAAAATACGAGGCGATGTTCCAGTAAAACTTGACTTGAGGAGACGCGAAGAGACTCATCAGACGTGACCAGCAGTTCAGAGGCTTCAGCTCACAGTCAGACTTCTGCAAGGGGACACTGAGACACAACGATATCCCTTCATTATTCACACACACACATCGGGCAACAGTTCAGGGAAAAAGGGCTACTGTCAAATAAAAATAAAGAAAATAAGAACGAATAATCAAACTACAAGGACTAGCACAAATAAATACAATAGAAGAAAGATACAAATGAAATAAACTGTGATTTTCAGGATTACAAGGATTATTTTTTTATTGAATTCATGTAATATTCTAATTTTCAGGTTTTCATAAGCTGTAAGCCATAATAATCATCAACTTTTGCACGATATTCTAACTTTTCGAGTTTCACCTGTATATATATATATACACACACACACACACACACAAGTGAAAAAATACAACTAAGACCAACTTAAGATATTGAACACTAAAACATAGCAAATAAGTTGTATGATGCTAACATTAGTGTGATGCAATAATTTAGATTCAATTATTTATTATTATAATAAAAGTATATATATTATATAATAATAATACATTTATGTAACATTCATAATAAACAATTGTTCTTTAATAGTTAAAAATGTATTTATTATAGTGTCAAAAAATAGAAATAAAATCATTAAAAAATAAAATCTTTTAAAAAAATGAAATAAAATCATTAAAAAAATGCACATTTATTTATTATTATAATAATAGTATAATATATATTATATAATAATAATCCATTTATGTAACATTCATAATAAATAATTGTTCTTTAATAGTTAAAATTGTATTTATTATAGTGTCAAAAAATAGAAATAAAATCCTTAAAAAAAATAAAATCCTTAAAAAAAATAAAATAATTTTAAAAAATCTGCACATTGGTTATGTAATAATAACAACAATAATAAGTCAGTACAAATATTACATAGATGTAATAATAAAAATAATATCATTATGTGATATTTAATAGTCTAAAGATTATGCATTACTGTGTTAAAAACCCCACAAATAAGATATTTTTCAAGTGGTTATGCATATTGAACATAAGTAAGTTGTATAATGCTAATATTAGTTTTAGGTCATTCACTTGTCACTCCTACATCTTTGCAGTGTGAATGTGTTGTAAGTCAACTAACCGTATGTGGCGTTTGATCTTGGCATCTGAGTTTCCAGCTAAGACTGGATCCACTGCCTGCTTCCGTCTCTGGATGTCTTCATCACGTCTGCGAGAATCAAGGGTTAAAACATATATTAAGAATCATTAAAAGTCAGTGTTTATGGTAAAAGTGCCATTTGCAGTGTAATTATTGAGAGTGCAATGCCGCCATCTGATGGTGTGTGTATGTAATGACAAACAAATGACAACAAAGATTGAACTTTCAGAAAGTTTGGTCCCACTTTATATTTAGTGGCTTTAACTACTACATACTAACATTGAAATTTATAATTTAATAGGGCTGGGTAATAAATATCGATTTCTCTATACTAATCGATTCTCATTATTACAAAATCTCAAGAATCGATTAGTCATCCTGTTTCATTTCCAAAAAAAATCGCAATAATCTTTGTCCTTTGTTACTATTGATATAAAACAAAGTCTCAATTTTCAAATTACGTCCATTTTCTTTAGAAATTCAAAAACATAAATAGCGTTTTGGCGCTGTGGCGTGAGATCGCTCTGGCTCAGCTCAAGAGAAGCAGCAGCGCTGATCTCACTTCCGGGTTAATAATACCAGTCACAGCGCGAAATAAACATGAATGAGCATCTGAAAGTGTGTTAAAAGATAGAGTACAACTTATCGAAATCCGTATCATGTCACATTGATTCGCTCAATCAGCGTTTCAACTGTGAAAAGACGTCAGTTAAACAGCTTGTAATCAATGTCATCGTCATATTTACCTCAGAAAACCCACATAAACTCGTTAGTCAGCTAGAAAAAATAACTCTAGAGAGGAGCATTTTGCTAAATAGCCATATACACCATATTACATATGAATTATAATCTTAATGTTCTTCAATATTTAATGCATTTGAATAAATCTGACAAGTTTTTATGACAGCCACCATTTAAATGTTTATATTTCATAATTACCTTCATATTAGGCTAATGAAGCCTATAGGCTACAACTAGACTCCCATAGTTTACAGCATTAGTTAAGAGATTTGACTCCCTTGAGAAAATTTGCCATTTATTGTAACTGATATCCAAAATAATCGATATTGAATCAAATCGGAATCGAATTGCAAGCTTGTGAATCGAAATCGAATCGAATTGTGAAATTTGTGTCAATACCCAGCCCTACAATTTAATACAATGGACTTATTGTTTGCATCCATGTTTTTAAATATTATTTATGTTTAGAAAATACCTGCATGTATTTACAGCTGTGATCAATGTAATTTATGTAATACCCTTCCCTTACTTTACCTCAATAGCAGCAAAAGTCTTTCACAATACAACATGTAAACAACACAACACACCACTTAGTATAAAGTGGGACTGAAGTTTTTACCTGAAGATCAGGAAGCCGGTGTATATCAGAGGAAAGAAGATCATGCACAGGAGAATCTTCCAGTGAGGATTCTCCACGGACAGCTCTCCAAACCAGATCTGAGTGAGCAGGGCCTGACAGAGACACTCGATGAGACCGTATACATAAACTGCTAGTTGGTTTGTAGGAATAACAGTTTTCACAGGAAAAGTAGCTCTTATTGCACATGAATTACTTACCCAAAACCCATTCATTATCATGCGAAAAACATGGAACATTTTAAAGCTGCAGACCATAGCTGTTATTGGGTTAAAAATGATCCAAAATACATATTTGAGAAAACACATATCCAGCCAGTGTTCAAAACTCTCTGCTTGCCGTAGCTCGGTTCAAAGCGGTAATCTTGTAATAATGTTTTTAACTCCAGTGATGCTGGTGGATTTCAGCGGGAGATTCGGGCATGTCTTTGCGTCATTACGTCACATCTGTACACACCAAGGTTATTATAGCTTTGCATTTTTTATTAGTTTTTATTTTTATTTAGTTTTGAATTTCAGTTTAGTTTTAATTAGTTTTAAAAGTGGGTTTACTAGTTTAGTTTCCATTTTTTGAAAATGCTTAGTTTAAGTTTAGTTTTTGTGTTAGTTTTAGTCTTTTTTGTAGTTTAGGTTTAGTTTTTGTGTTAGTTTTAGTCTTTTTTGTAGTTTAGGTTTAGTTTTTGTGTTAGTTTTAGTCTTTTTTGTAGTTTAATTTTAGTTTTTGTGTTAGTTTTAGTCTTTGTAGTTTAAGTTTAGTTTTTGTGTTAGTTTTAGTCTTTTTTGTAGTTTAATTTTAGTTTTTGTGTTAGTTTTAGTCTTTTTTTGTAGTTTAAGTTTAGTTTTTGTGTTAGTTTGTCTTTTTTGTAGTTTAAGTTTAGTTTTTGTGTTAGTTTTTAGTCTTTTTTGTAGTTTAAGTTTAGTTTTTGTGTTAGTTTTAGTCTTTTTTGTAGTTTAAGTTTAGTTTTTGTGTTAGTTTTTAGTCTTTTTTGTAGTTTAAGTTTAGTTTTTGTGTTAGTTTTTAGTCTTTTTTGTAGTTTAAGTTTAGTTTTTGTGTTAGTTTTTAGTCTTTTTTGTAGTTTAGGTTTAGTTTTTGTGTTAGTTTTAGTCTTTTTTCGTAGTTTAAGTTTAGTTTTTGTGTTAGTTTTAGTCTTTTTTGTAGTTTAAGTTTAGTTTTTGTGTTAGTTTTAGTCTTTTTTGTAGTTTAGGTTTAGTTTTTGTGTTAGTTTTAGTCTTTTTTGTAGTCAGGGCCAAGGTTGAAAAAGGTCAGAAAAAGAATTGTGTAATAATAACAACTCAACAAAAACATCATACAATTTTAGAAATATCTATTCAACATTAAAACCAGTACATAAAATGTAGCCTACAATGTGAAATTCCTTTACCGTACCAACAATTTTACACCACAGCTTTACATGCATGTTTTAATGAAAGACATTGACAAAGACAAAAACTAAGGACATTTGCTCTATAATTTTATTTTATTTTAGTTAGTTTTGCAAACACACATTACAGTTTTAGTTAGTTATAGTTTTTTGTAATGCTAATGATTCCGCGAATGACTGCAATTGCAGATTTCGAACAGAGATGGCGACAAAGAGGGAAACCTGCGGACTGCAGCTTTAAGCTTGACTAATATAGACAAGACATATATTTGCAATCATAAACAACTTTTTATTGTTATTATCACTGGGTTTGTTCACCTGCACTCCTGAGTGAGCGACGAAGCTTTTATCCCCGGCCTCGAGAGCGAGCCACAGACACGTGCTTCTGCCCCACGACGGAGAGATGCGGATCAGGAGTTTCTGCGCTCGCTGGGCGTCCCAGCTGTGACATTTGCTGAAGACACCTGAGGTCACACACACACAGAGTTAAACATCACGGCTCAGGTCAAAGGATTTGAAGGATTTTTTATATATATATGTTTATTTCCGTGTACAAAATATGTGTATTCTGGGTGGTATAACACATTTTGCTGCAGCTACAGTCTGTAAAAAAAAACCTTAGTTCACCTTAAAATGAAAATGTCCTAATAATTGACTCATCCCAATGTCATCCAAGATATCCATGTCTTTCTTTCCTCGGTGGAAAAGAAAATTAGTTTTTTGAGGAAAACATTTCTGGATTTTCTCTTCCACTGAGGAAAGAAAGACATGGATCTCCTGGATGGCATTGGGATGAGTCAATTATTAGGACATTTTAATTTTGAGGTGAACTGATCCTTTAAGGACAATAAAGAATGAATCTGAAATCATACCGATGGCTTGTTTCTCATAGTGGTTGGCCAGTTCTCTCATTTCATTTGCCTCTTCGCTATCATCCTCGCCGCTCTCCTTCGCCAGTTTCTTCAAGATCTTACTGGCAGCCAGAGCGGCTGCGATGCAGTCTCTGCACTACAAAAACAAACACACACACACACATTTGTGAATCTTCAAACCGCAACTTACTCTAACGCTATTTAAATACAGAATCAGATAATCTGATTTACAGCATTTACCGGTCACAAAACAACATCTGAATGAATACATTTATAAAGAATACAACCAATAAAGATAGAAAACACTCATTGATATAATGTAGTTAAAAAATTATGAACAGAAAACCTTTAACAAAATACTATAAATACAAGATGCACAATTACACACAGGGATTCAAATGAATCAGTAAATTGTTTTTTTGTTGTTTTTGAACCAGTTTAATTACATGAACAATCCAAACGGTAATAATAATTTTTATATATTATATAATTTAGTTTGAATTATTCTTTCATAGTCTAAAGATTATGCATTATTGTGTTAAAAAAACACAAATAAAACAATTCAAATTCAAAACACTTAAAAATCTAAAATATAATTGTATAAATAACAAAATATTCACTTTATTTTCCACGCTGGTTTTCAAATGAATCAGTGGATTTTTTTAATCCAGTTTAATTAACTGAATGAACTGATTCACTGAAATTAATGGAAAATACTTCATATGACAGAGGCAACAATGTTCATCCAATAGAACAAAGTAAAATAATAATAATAATAATAATTACTAGAATAAACTACAATTATTACACTGTAAAAATGAATATGCTTTATCTAATCAATAAAATTGTGGCAACAGATTACAAGCAATATTATTTATTAAATTGAACAAATTAGAATTGAGTAATAGTTAATCAAATTAATATTCTAATTAATTCTAATTTGTACAATTTAATTAATAATATTGCTTGTAATATGTTGCCACAATTTTATTGATTAGATAAAGCATATTATTTTTTTCAGTGTAGATGAAATCCTTAGAAATGTCCCTGACTAAAAAAATGTATAAGAATTAAAAGGATTAAAAATAAAATAAAAATAAACCAAAGAATAGAAATAAAAATATAAGCAATATTATAAATATTAAAAAACTAAAATGAATAAACATGACAAAAGCACAGTAGAAAATTACGAAAACTAAAATGCAAAGAAAATATGAAAATAAAGAGCTCTTTTAAAATCAATACTATAATAGTAGTACATTTTAATAAACAATAAAAAATTATAGTAATAACAGTTTTCCAAAGAGTACTAATTGTTTTTAGTGACTCCCTGCAAACATTTACACATTTAAGATCAGCTTCAGCAAAATATCAGCTTCTTTCACCAAACTAAAGCAGAAAACTTGTCTCAGTCAGGTCTGTACCTGCTCCCAGCCGATCTCTGCCAGCTCTCTGTTATTCTGTACAACAGCCCAGAGGAAGAGATCCCGTCCCGGGTCCCAAATCGTGAGTGCGGTCGGTTCTTCGCCAGAACACGGCAGATCCACCCCTTTGGACGGCACCTGAGAGATGCAGCGCTTCAATGAATAAAACAGCCCGAGTCTTTAGTGCCAAACTAGAATTAAAGGGATAGTTCACTCCAAAATGAAAACTCTGTCAGTAATTACTCGCCCTCATGTTTTTCCAACCCTGTAGAGTCCGAAATTTGCACACGTAAAAAAATAAATACAACCACACGTTATTTAAATCATGCTTGCACAGTGTCTCAGAAAAAAAAAATCGAATCGGATTAGATTTTCTGCGTTTTTCGCATCCGTAACAAGCAGTTTGAATGGTGTTTTGACAAATCAGAGACACCGAATCACGAATACGAATAAACGGAGACAGTGTGCAAGCCCTTTAAGACTTTCGTTCATCTTCAGAACACAAATTAAGATATTTCTGATTAAATCTGAGAGCTGGATCACTCCTCCATAGGCTTCTAAGTTACTGAAACTTGCCGGCCCAGAAAAGTTATTAAAGACATCGTCAAAATAGTCCGAGTGACTACAGTGGCTCAACCTTAAGTTTATCAAGCGACGAGAATACTTTTTGTGCGCAAAAAAACACAAACATAAATAACGACTTTATTCAACTATTCATTTCCTTTAACCTGTCTTTAACTTTTCTGAGCCGGCAAGTATCAATATTAGGGCTGTGCAAAAATTAATTGCATCCAAAATAAAAGTCTGTGTTTACATAATATATATGTGTGTGCTGTATATAATTATTTTTATATATAAATACAGACACATGCATGTATATATTTAAGAATTATTTGCGCTTAAATTCTGTATATATATATATATATATATATATATATAAATACATAATCTATATTATATAAATATTAATATTTTATATATGAATAACACATTTTCTTAAATATATACATGCATGTGTGTGTATTTATATATAAAAATAATTATATACAGCACACACAAATATATTATGTAAACACAGACTTTTATTTTGGATGCGATTAATCAAATTAATTTTTGCACAGCCCTAATCGATATATATAATACTAATATAACACTTTACTGTGCTGAATAAAATTGTACAATTTAAATTTATCAGGATTTATGTCATGGCACTCTTTTCCACTGCCATTGTTTCTGTCTTAAACTTGCCATTAAGTAATATTAAATTATATTTTGTATAAAGAAAAGAAGCCTACGGTAGTATAGATTGTGTCCATTGTGACAATATTTCCATGCCAATTTATAACCCTTTTCTTATCATTATCAATTAAAAAATAAGTCTAAGTTGAAGTACCTGTACTAAAATTACAAAAAGTAAAACTGAATAAAACTAAATGACAGCTAAATAAAAATATAAAAGCTGATAATGACTAAATTACTTTAAAAAACCTAAAAATTAAAATTGATATATAATATAATAGTAAACAAATAAAACAAATATTAAAATTACATTGTACTCTACGTTTCCCCCTTGTCCTTGTTGCTGAGGACTTTTATGTTTCAAACTTGCCGTCAAACGGACATCATCTTCGGTTTTCTTGTAGCTTGAAGAGGCGTATAACGGTTGAGTAAAACTTCCCAGCAAGTGGCGCACTTCTTCAGACACGTGCCTCAAGGAAATGTTTTCGACAACCTGGGCTCGTTTTGCAAGCTTGCGCAGGAATAAGCAGGCGGGTAGGTGTTTGTAGAGCTTACAGAGGGTCTCCTTTACCAGAAACTTATCCACACACACTCCATTCTCCAGCAACAGCCGCACAAACTCAGGTTTGTCGCCCTCCAGCGCTGAAAACATGGCCGGATGCAGATCAGTGGACTGAGACGGGAAAGAAATCAACAAATTAGAGCCAGACCGATATTAGGCATTTCCCAAACTATCGGTATCAGCAGTTATAATGGCCGATAAATTAATATTTCAAAAATAAAATAAAAACAGACGAAACATGCTTGAACCATGTTATGAGTGTTGGAGTTGTATGGTTTGTCCACCAGAGGGCACTCTACACAGTCCCTGTTGGCAACACTCGTTGAGATGGGCACGAGACATACATTGCTTGAATAACAATTAAAAGAACATAACTCAAATAAGCATGACAAAATTTGTGACTATCATGTCCAGTTTAAAAAAAATAAAAAAATAAAAAAATAAATTATCGGCCGATATATATCGGAATATCGGATTTTAAAACCCAAAAATATTTGTATCGGTATCGGCCTTCAAAATCCTTTATCGGTCGGGCTCTACAACAAATCACGACAAACGCAAAATAATTAACATTCAATAATACTCCCACAGGCACTATTTGAACACTGTTTTTCTTTAAATAATGAGTTGCATGCAAAAGTCAAAACAGTGAACCCCTGACCAAACAACGAAAAGATGTTAAACTGTTTTTTGGATATGTAGTGTGTAATATAGCTCTTTGAATGTAAAAGTTTCAAAAATCAATTTGACAGAAAGAAACGGTTCTGAACTGCCTGAAATGAGTCGTCAGTAATTACAGTCTCACTTCCTGCTGAACCTACTTATGTTTGTAAGAAATTTGCATAATGCCAGCCTATGTTCTTCATTGGCTGCATGTCTACTTTGACTTTGGTTTGTGTTGTTGACAAACTCGAGAAGACGCTGTTTTCACTGCATGCACTTCAAAAGGATTCACTCTGGAATTAATACGGTAAAACCCACGCTACCATCCACTATATAGTGCACTATATAGGGTGTCGGCCATTTTGTAGTGGTGTCCGAATTTTGAGTGAACGACATCATTCCCTACATTCATTCACTACTTTTACCCACAATCCTCTCTGAATTCGAGTGTACATTCGATGTACACTTGCTGAAGCATTATTTCCCACAATCCAATGCGGAGAGAACTGAGCGCGCATGAAAGTGCGGCGCGAGCAAGTTTAAACCATAGATTACATTACATCCAATGGAGGATTTACGCTATCTCACGACCAATTCGTACGAGTGATTCAAAAGTGGCTAATTCGTACTAATTCATACGACCTCAGTTGTCTAAACCCACGTGACGGTTATGTTTAGGGGCGGAGTCAGGGGTAGGTCAGTCGTACGAATTCATACGAATTGGCTAATTCGTACGAGTGAGGTCGTATGAATTGTTACGAATTAGCCACCTCGTAAAATTCGTACGAATTCCCGTGAGATCGGGTTGAAATATCCGTTAATCGTCGTTAGGAAGCGTATTCATTCGGATATAATAACGGTCACCGGAGGGCGCTCGACGACACGTCATCTGTGAGCGTGAGAGTTACAGTCGATGAAACTATAAAGCTGGCACGGAAATATATATAATTACAAAATAAAGTCATTATGATTGTTATTGTTGTTAATATTATTTTATAAATTAAGTAACGCACGATAAAAGGAGTTTTATCAGTAAATAAAACTTCGTGTGACGAAGCCTTTTCTGCGACTCTCCGACGCACAGTGTAAACGCACTCACTTCATCTCGTTCACTCCTTGCAGATAGTGCACTCAAATGCCATACACTATATAGGGATTGGTGAATGAGTGAACGAATAATCGGTTTCAGACACAGCTTGTGTATGAAATGATGAGGAAGATCCGAAAGAAAAATTCAGATAAACCCACAGGAGACATTTTAGAAAATGTTAATGAACATTATTTCAATGTGGCATGTGCAAAAGTTTCCAGTTGATCAACTAGTTTTATTTTTCGTAGGCCTAATGTTTCTGCAATTCTCGTAGCTTTTTGCATTATTTTTACCCACCGTCCACTGGCTCTCCTCGGTGAAGATCTCACTCTCTGCGATGTCGACCCGGTTCCAGGCCACCGCGAGCTCCAGCTGTCTCTCCCAGGCCTGGTGGCCAGCATGTCCGTCACTTCTGGAGGCTGAGGAGCAACAACACACCACTTTATCCACTAGCGGTTTGGCAAATTCTTACCAGTTTGCCTTTTGTATTTCTCCTGATGAACGAGTCCTCGACCCCGTCAAAGTATCTTTAGTTTTATAGTTTATTGTCAACTAAACAAAAACTATAAAAAAAAAAAAAAATCCCCAGCTGGAGTGCCACTGATAGCCACCAGAGGGCACTTCACCCCAGACTATAGAGAGCCTAAGTCCCGCCCCTCCGCTTCCGGCTCATGGGACCTTATTTCGGAAAAAATATGAATGGTAGTCAATGGCGAGAGACAACTTATCTTTTTATTCCGTCTGAACTGTGCCCTGAATTACACATATGATGTTTGTCAATTTAAAAGATAATTCTGACAGTCAAAAACGTCGCAGTTTTTCATACAACAGAAGAGTAACATTTAGTTTTATGTGAAAATCGCTCTGTGAACTACATCTCCTTGGAAGAGAAACGAGATCCGCTGCTCGTGTGTGTGCAGTCTGGTACAAAACACTCAGGTATGACGGCGTAACGTTACGATTATAACGTAAGACTGCAGAAACAATGACAGACAATAGCCTCAGTAAAGTTAGCGTCATTCATTGGGAGAAAATGTGCGCCTTTGGGGTTTGTAGTCTTTGTAATTACGTATTTTCACAGTCTTATCCACAAGTTTCCGA